GTGATCCGTGCCCTCAGAATGGATGCCTTCTCTCCTCTCATCTGCCCCCAAACCTGGGCCTGAAACGTCTTTCCCAAGTATTCCCATTTAGGCAGAGCCCAAGTCACATCTGAAACTCTCAGCTGCAAGGCAGCATGAAGAATGTCATTTGGACTTTCAGGCCTGGCATGCTAGATGGGGGTTGGGCTAGGTCCTGAGCAAGTCAATCTGTGGGTGTACCATGAAGGCAAGAGTGGTGTGGGAGCCTGGGGAAGGGATGGCGAAGGCCCTTTGCCCACCACTCTCTCTGGAAGAATGTCTCTGGATTCTTCGTTGGCATGAGTTAGTAATTGGGGTGAATAGAGAATGGCTACCCCGCCAGCGATCCTAGTTTGTGTATTTGGGTGCATGTGCTTAACGGCTCTGGGCTCATGCCATCTGCAGTAGGAAAGCCTGTCTTGGAATTTATGAAGGAAAAACTGTAAAAAAGGTTTCGTTTCCGTCATAATCTGACTATAGAGGCAGCTACTCTTTTACAAGATTGTTTCGGAATCTACTGTCTTTTTTAACTGTTTCAAGTTAAATTGATAGGACCAGGTGCAGTGGCTCACACGTGTAGTCCCAACACTTTGGGAGGCCAGGGCGGGAGGATTGCTTGAGCACAGGAGTTTGAGACTAGCCTGAGACCCTGTCTGTACAAAATATTTTTTAAAAAAATTATCTCGGTGCGGTGGCGCATGCCTATAGACCCAAGTACTCAGAAGGCTGAGGTGGGAGGATGGCTTGAGCCCAGGAGGTCGAGGCTGCAATGAGCTGATTGTATCACTGCACTCCAGCCTGGGCAACAGAGTGAGACCCTGTCTCAAAAAAAAAAAAAAAAAAAATACTCATTTGCCTTAGTGAGTGGCTAGTTTGTAGTTCTCTCCACCCTCGCTGGAGGGGCGTGTGCTGGGGATGCTGTCATGATGCAGGCCACAGTGGCAGCTGTATTCCTTCAGTTAGTGCTGAGTCACAGTGAATGCCTTGGTTTATCACTGTGTTCACTTAAGTTTTTAAAATTACTAGTATCATATATGACGTTCCTTGGAGGCTTCTTAATGAGAATATTTGATAAAAATTACCTTGGTCAGGAGAGCTAGAGCTTTTGGGGCCTGCTGACATTCACTAAGGGGCATATGAGAAACTTCTGAGTGACTTGTTAATTGTACTCTATTTTACTTGTTTCAAACTGTTTGAAAACAAGAATCTGATGGGAACCAGATACAGTCTTGGGCCCAGAAAGTTCGGATCTCGTTCTGGAGAAGTTTGTGGAGAGTGGCTGGGCAGCGCTTTCCTTTGCAAGGGTGTGGTCTCCAGCTGTTCAGACCACTGGGCACACACTGTTGCCCTGATACCTCACTCCAGCAGTAACACCTCTCCTACTGGCCCGGGACCAGGAACGGCTCCCTACCCCTAGGGCTGTGAATAAGGAGTTTCCAGGAGGAGACCCAGGGAGGCAAGGAAGGGCGGGCACCTGAAGAGGACTCTTACCTGGGACTGAAGGCATCTGAGAAGCACAGATTCCTGGCTCCATTAGATCTAGGTTCAGGCCTTGAAATCTGCTTTTTTATTTGTGTGTTTGTTTTTGAGACAGAGTCTGGCTCTGTTGCCCAGGCTGGAGTGCAGTGGCACAGTCTTGGCTCACTGCAAGCTTTGCCTCCTAGTTTCACGCCATTCTCCTGCCTCAGCCTCCCAAGTAGATGGGACTACAGGCACCTGCTACCATGGCCAGCTAATTTTTTGTATTTTTAGTAGAGACGGGGTTTCACCATGTTGGCCAGGATGGTCTCAATCTCCTGACCTCTTGATCCACCCTCCTCAGCCTCCCAAAGTGCTGGGATTACAGGCATGAGCCACCACGCCCGGCCGAAATCTGCTTTTTAAAAGACTTCTAGGTGATTATGAAGATTGGATAGATTACAGTTTTCCTAAAAGATTCCACGTTTCCCAAGTTCAAGTTCAGATGACTCTAATGACAATTTTATGATACGAGTAAGATTTGAATGTGTGGACATGGCTGGAAAGGGCGTTCCTGGGATGGAACATCATGAATATAGGTACCGGTGAGCTTTGGGAGCAACCAGAGAAGAGTCCATGAGGGAATTCACCTGAGTATTCGATAAACAAACAAGAAGGGTGTGGTGGGGCATGGTTCTCGAAGCAAGGACCCAAGACTAGTTGCTGCACCTGGGCTCTTGTTAGGCGACTGTGGGGCCCCACTGCAGATCTTCTGAAGCAGAAATGTGGGTGGAGATGGGGAGGGACAATCTGTGTCTTAGCAGCCCACTCATGGGAGTGTGAGAACCCTTGTGGTGGAGAGGAATTGGTTGAAGGGGGTGTTGAGTGCCAGGGTAAGTCATAGGGGCAGTGAGATTGGGTTTGATCGCAGGACCCAGGGGCACCTGATGAGATGAACTTCCAGCAGCTTCATCCTGCTGCATGTGTGAAGGAGAATGGAAAGTTGCTTTCTTTTCATCTGTTACAGATATTAATTTAATAAGATTCCAGAATTCCTCAAGCTTGGGAAAGCTGATAAAGCTCTTACTTTTGATTCTTTTGATTTTAATTCTGGAAAATTGTTGATAAATCATGTGAAACAATAAAAAGGTGATAGTATTACACAAAAAAGTTAATTGTGGCCAGGCGTGGTGGCTCACACCTGTAATCCCAGCATTTTGGGAGGCCAAGGCGGGCAGATCACGAGGTCAGGAGTTCAAGACCAGTCTGGTCAACACAGTGAAACCCCATGTCTACTAAAAATACAAAAAAATTAGCCAGGCGTGGTGGTGGCGAGCACCTGTAATCCCAGCTACTTGGGAGGCTGAGGCAGGAGAATTGCTTGAACCTGAGAGGTGGAGGTTGCAGTGGGTGGAGATTGCACCACTGCACTACTGCCTGGATGACAGTGCGAGACTCCATCTCAAGAAAAAAAAAAGAAAAAGCTAATTGCACCTAGACATTTTACAATGTAAATTACTTTCTATTATTTGTATGTTATAAACATTCTTGTTAAGCAGAGAAAAAGAATAATTTTAATTTTCAAAAGAAATTGTAAACTTAGGACCAAAGGTGTCAAATGGTATATGTGCTTATGGAGGGAGGAAGTGGATTTCCAAACTGTTAGGTGAACGTGGTCATTGTGCAGATTTAAAACTTAATAACTTAAAACACACACTTTGAAAATTAAAATCAAGTAAAATTGACATCTTCTGGAACAAGGGTGAGCTGTGATGCTGGGCGTGTGGTATGAAGTCTTCAAACACAGTAGAAAGCTGCAGGCACCAAGGCACAGCCAGCCCAGGCGCTGAGTACAGGGCAGCTGCAGGGGACTGTGCCAGCCACGCTAAACGGCCTCTCCTGGGAAAGAAGACATGTGGACCGAGACTGAAAGCAGTTGAACTGCTTATTGAACTGTGATCTATCCGCCTTTAAAGTGGACATCTCCACATAAACAGGAAAGCCTAGCGTAACACTGGGTTGACGAGTGACTCCTAACATTTTCATCATCAGTGCAGGCTGAAGGACAGCGTCCTGGAAGGCCTCCAAGGCCGGCCGAGGCTGTCAGACCATGCTATCGTGCGGCGATCGCTCAGTGCTCTTCCCACTGAAACCATAGCACACGCGCTCTGAATGTTCACAGAGCTGTGGCCAATGTTGGAGGTGACACACGTGCTAATTGCCCCAATTTCATCCTTATACATTGTATGTATGGATCAAAATAACACTCTCTGGGTCCCATGAATAGGTACAATTACTACATTTCCACTAAAAATAAAAGGAAAAAATTATCAACAATTCTTTGTCATTCTTCAGTAATGTTTATTGTTTATTAATTTTTCAGTTGTCTGGCAATTTCCCAAACCTGCTTTACCTGTTTCAAAACTCAGAAAAACCACGTATGTTAGAACAGAGGAGCCGAGGCAGAGTCTCTGTGCAGCTGATAGAGCTGACTTGCCTGGGTGCCTTCCAAAAAAGGCCCTTGCGGTATCTTCACCATGTTTATATATTTTGTTAAATTTGCAAAAATAAGGTATTTCAACCACAAAGTTAAGACTGCCATCTCTTCTCTTTTAACCTCTCCTACGTCATACTTCCCCTCAGCATAACGGTGAAACAGCCGTGGACATGTCTGGAATCTTGTTAAGGGTTGGCTGGGATACATTTATATGCTTTGCAGTCTCTTCCATGTATTAATAGTTACGTTATTGCCGGCCATCTCATTTGGGATGTCTTCTAGGAATACTCTGAGTATAGTCAATTCAAATTACAGAGCATTCACTCCATAGAAAACTTGAAATATGAAATCTTATAACTCAGATATGAAAGAAACTTAGCAGTTTCCCCAAATTTGACAACAATCCTAAAAATTACATGGTGCTACTAACACATAGTTGAGGATGTAGAATAAACTTCTATAAACTGCCAAAAAGAAAAATAAAAAGGAATTTTCCATTAAAAATGTATGTGCTGTGTAATTTTAAATGAGATCATGCCAGTATACAGATTTTTTTTCTCCCCCCGGAGTTTCGCTCTTGTTGCCCAGGCTGGAGTCCAGTGGTGGGATCTCGGCTCGCTGCAACCTCTGCCTCCTGGGTTCAAGCAATTCTTCAGCCTCAGCCTCCCGAGTAGCTGGGATTAGAGGCGCCCACCACCACACCGGTTAATTTTTGTATTTTTAGTAGACATGGGATTTCACCACGTTGGCCAGGCTGGTCTCAAACTCCTAATCTCGTGATCCACCCACCTCAGCCTCCCAAAGTGCTGGAATTACAGGCGTGAGCCACCGCCCCTGGCCAGTCTATGGAATTTTAAATGGTATGTTTTGTAGGTACACTACATATTTCCTAAGACTACTTCAGATTATTTTTTACAGGGGAACTTAGATTTTCACACATCGTTAAATAAAAATGGATTATTTTTATTTCAAAAAAGGGGATATGTACCATCAGTAACCATATTTGCCTATTTCCTTGATTATACAGGGAGAAGATACCCATTATCAGAAAAAAAAATTATGCACTATATGTACCAGTTATGTAAGTCCCTTGATCACATTCACAGGTATGCTCTTGGAGATTTGACAGCTCTGAAATTAATAAGATGTGTTAACATTCAAATTCAAGAATTTGAATAAATGAAGTGTAATTCTATTTTTCCTTTTATACTGAATGCAGAAATGGAATATTTCACAGAGATGTAAAACCAGAAAATATACTAATAAAGGTAAGAGCTTTTACATGAAAGCTGGGTATCGGAATAAAAGTTGAATAGAAACCCTTTCCCTGAAAGGTTTGCTCCTCCTGCTGGAGGAACTTTCAGTCCATGCAGCTAGACAGCCTATTTGTTACAGTGATTTTTCCCTCTCAGGTTGTAACAAATGGTTTATTTAATAAATGCCATCAACATAACTGACTGCACCTGGAAGAAAATAATAGAAAGTACCCTTCTTACACTGCAGACAGAAAGGAACCCCATTCTGATGGCCGTTCGATCCCCCTAGAGAGAAATGTGGCAGAGGCAGGATCTGAGCTTAAGTCCGTCTCTCTCCCAGGCCACTAAACTACCTGTGTTTAAACCGTACCATTTGCTGTTTCCCAGCGCCTGTCACTGGCTGTCAGCAGGGTCCTCTGGGGCTGTGTGGCTGAAAAAGCCCTTGCTGGGCAAGCTGGCAGCATGACCAGACCGACGACTAGTGTGTGTCGTTCATTTGTTGAAGCGCTGTGAGTTAACCATTTTCAAACCCGTAGACATTTGGAAATATATGTAAAACATAGCCAGAATATTTGTAAACTTGTTCCACTGAATAGACACATCACTTCCTCATCTGCTGGAGGCACTTTCAGGTGCTCATAAAGCTAGTAATTTGTATTTTACAGACTACTTTAGATACTAGTAATTTTCCTGCTAGTGCATAAATATTTGGAGTGGTTTGTATTACGATAGCCACATAATGGGACATTGCTTGTCCTTGCTTCTCTCCCCTTCCAGCAGGATGTCCTGAAATTAGGGGACTTTGGCTCCTGCCGGAGTGTCTATTCCAAGCAGCCATACACGGAATACATCTCCACCCGCTGGTACCGGGCCCCAGAGTGTCTCCTCACCGATGGGTTCTACACGTACAAGATGGACCTGTGGAGCGCCGGCTGCGTGTTCTACGAGATCGCCAGGTAGCGCCAGGCCGGGCTCCTTCCTGGTTCCCGCAGCGGGAGGGGCCCTCCAATCCAGATGTCAAGGTCATTCTGGTTTTACTTTCTGTTTTACTGTTTTTAATTTAACAGCAAATTGACTAGGCTTTCGTTTTACTTGTTGTACATATTTGGCCTTGGCTGGCCTTCCCGGAGAAGAGCACCAATCCTCAGTTGTTCTGCCTCCCGCACACCCTGGCGGTGTGGGCAGCCGCCTCCTTGGGCTTGCTGTGAGGTGCTTGATGGGGCTGCCATGGGGAGGGGTGAGCCGGGCCTCCCCTGAGAGGTGCAGTCATATCAGGTAGGGTGCCCTGGCCACAAGTGTGAGGATGAGGCACCTTCTGGCACAGTTGGATTCTAGAAAGCCCCAATCCCACCCTTCCCTGCTCCAGCCTCCAAACCTCCCACTCCCCCCAGCCCTCGGGAAGGAGCAATGGCCCAGGGATGAGGAGATGGGGGCCGGTCCCACTCCGAGGTGAATGGTGTTGAGTTGAAGAAGTGCATGGGGGTGGAGGGCTGCACCTCTTGCTCCCAGTGGGCCTCCAGGCAGGTGGCAGTGAGGTTAAGGTCTGGGGACACATCTGAGGGGTCAAAGTCTGGTCCCACCTGTTCAACAGACTGATACAGAAATGCACTTCAGGACATATTCTCCTTTGATCCAGATGGTTCATACTGGTAACTTTTCATTTTGGAAAGCTGAATGGCAATTTCACTGCAGCCAGAAGTGTCAACCGAGAGTCCCTTCTCATGAGGCCAGGTCCTGTGAATTCATCTGGAGGAGGCAGATATCTGGAGCACAAAGCTGCCCGCATCTCACCAGCACACAAGGTGGCCCACGGTGCACCAGCCACCGAACTGGGCTGATGCGCTTATCTCGCCGCTTGGAGCTGTTTCCTGCTCACCTGCATTTCCTCCTCTCTCCTTTCGTCACAAGATCCTGCCATTTTCTGGAATAGAAGCTAGGCCTACCACCAGAGCTGTATTTTTTCTTTTCTTTTTTTTTTTTTTTTGAGACAGAATCTTGCTCTGTAGCCCAGGGTCAAGTGCAGTGGTGCGATCTCAGCTCACTGCAAGCTCTGCCTCCTGGGTTCAAGCCCGCCTCAACCTCCCAAGTAGCTGGGACTATAGGCCTCTGCCACCACACCCAGCTAATATTTTTGGCATTTTTAGTAGAGACGGGGTTTCACCATGTTAGCCAGGATGGTCTCAATCTCCTGACCCTGTGATCCACCTACCTTGGCCTCCCAAAGTGCTGGGATTACAGGCATGAGCCACTGTGCCCAGCCCAGAGCTGTATTTTTAAATATTCTTTGTGGCATGTAATATGAATTGAATTTATTTATACAAGTTTAAATTCTTTATTTTTATTGTTTTTTTTTTTTTTTTTTTTTTTTTTTGAGATGGAGTTTCGCTCTTGTTGCCTAGGCTGGAGTGCAATGATGCAATCTCGGCTCACTGCAGCCTCTGCCTCCCGGGTTCCAGTGATTCTGCTGCCTCAGCCTCCCAAGTAGCTGGGATTACAGGCATGCACCACCACGCCCGGTTAATTTTGTATTTTTAGTAGAAACGTTTCTCCATGTTCGTCAGGCTGGTCTTGAACTCCTGACTTCAGGTGATCCGCCCACCTCAGCCTCCCAAAGTGCTGGAATTACAGGCATGAGCAACCGCGCCTGGCACAGGTTTAAAATCTTTTTTTTTTTTTTTTTTTTTTGAGGCGGGGTCTTCACTCTGTCGCCCAGGCTGAAGTGCAGTGGCACCATCTCGGCTCACTGCAAGCTCCGCCTCCCGGGTTCGCGCCATTCTCCTGCCTCAGCCTCCCGAGTAGCTGGGACTACAGGCGCCCACCACCGCGCCCGGCTAATTTTTTGTATTTTAGTAGAGACGGGGTTTCACCGTGTTAGCCAGGACGGTCTCGATCTCCTGACCTCGTGATCCGCCCACCTCGGCCTCCCAAAGTGCAGGGATTACAGGCGTGAGCCACCGCGCCCAGTCAAGGTTTAAAATCTTGTTCCCACAATTCCAAAATCTATAAAAGCTTTGGAAACCAAAAGATTTCTTGGGACTCATTTATTGACAAAACCTGACCTGCCTCATGCTGAATTTGTCAGCAAAACTTCTCTTGGCTGATGGGAGGCTCACTGTGGGGTTATTCATCACGGTTACTGTGAATTAGTCACATTTCACCACAGACATCATGCCGGACAGATGTCGGAATGTGAATCTGTCTTTTGCCTGTTAGGGAACACATGTCGGACCTTTTGGTAAAGTGGAAACAGAAAGGCCAAGCACAAGGGAGAGTGGAGCCTCCCAGCAGCTAGGGTCGCTGCACGCGCCAGGCTGAGTTCCTCGTGTTTCGTGTGGTGAGGGTCGCTGCACGCGCTAGTCTGAGTTCCTCGTGTTTCGCGTGGTGAGGGTCGCTGCACGCGCTAGTCTGAGTTCCTCGTGTTTCGTGTGGTGATGGTCGCTGCACGCGCCAGGCTGAGTTCCTCGTGTTTCGCGTGGTGAGGGTCGCTGCACGCGCTAGCCTGAGTTCCTCGTGTTTCCGGTGGTGAGGGTCGCTGTGTGTGCCAGGCTGAGTTCGTCATGTTTCGTGTGGTGAAGGCTGCTGCACGCGCTAGGCTGAGTTCCTCTGTTTTGTGTGGTGAAGGTTGCTGCTTGAGTTCCTCGTGTTTCATGTGTTGAGGGCGCTGTATGCACCAGGCTGAGTTCCTCGTGGTTTTTTTGGTGAGGGCGCTGCACACGCTAGGCTGAGTTCCTCGTGTTTTGTGTGGTGATGGTGCTGTACATGCCAGGCTGAGTTCCTCGTGTTGCATGTGGTGAGGGCGCTGCACACGCCAGGCTGAGTTGCTCCTGTTTCTTGTGTGAGGGTCACTGTACGAGCTAGGCTCAGTTCCTCATGTTTCGTGTGAGTGGGCCTGCCTGGTCGAGGGGACCAGGCAGAATAGAGAGACCCATGGCCATGTCCTGACTAAGGTCAGCCAAGAGAAAGGAAAAATAGACCCAAAGTCAGGCAAGCAAGTTTTCATTAACCTACCAGCTGCCCCCTTAACAGACAGAGGAAGTAGCCCCAAGCTTACAGAATGAGGGATGTATACTGGGGAGGGGAGTTTGAGGGAGTTCTTTGGTATGGCCGCATCCCAGGGTTGGTTTGTTCTTATTTTTTTTATTTTTGTTTTTGAGACAGGTTCTTGCTCTGTCGCCCAGGCTGGAGTGCAGTGGCACCATCTCAGCTCACTGCAAGCTCCGCCTCCCGGGTTCACACCATTCTCCTGCCTCAGCCTCCCGAGTAGCTGAGACTATAGGCGCCCGCCACCACGCCTGGCTAATTTTTTGTGTTTTTTGTAGAGACAGAGTTTCACCATGTTGGCCAGGATGGTCTCCATCTCCTGACCTCGTGATCCACCCACCTCGACCTCCCAAAGTGCTGGGATTACAGGCATGAGCCACCACGTCCAGCCATCTCAGGGTTGTTTGCTGGTTAATTTTGCCACATATTACCTTGTGATGTTTATGGTAGCAACTAGATGAAGAGCAGGAACTTACAGGAGGGTGTAGGTAAAGTTTGTTTATACTTCCCACGATCTTCTGCTGTGTGGTCTGGATGGTTTGTAATCGGGGTTTGCTTATTGCAGCAAGGTCTGATGAGTGAAGTCTGCTGGCTCTGCAGCGGCGCCTAGATAAGAGCTTAGAAATGTAAAGAGGCTTGGGGGAAGGGTGGGTGGCACAGAGAAGGGTTGCAGAGCATTAGAGGGAGGAGTGGGCAGCACCAAGAAGCTTTTTTGGGGCAGTTTGTCCCTAACTTCCCAGCCCTTTAATAGGTAATAGAAGAGGGGCGCTGTTGTCGTCTGGTTGCTTCTTGCTGGGAAGGGGCAACAGTTTTTAGGGGCAGACTGGACAGTAGGGACTGCCGTTCTTGAATCTGTTGGTATTCTTGGAGCAGCATCATATCTTGTATTGTCCTGTGGGTGAAGGCTCTGATACAGTCCAGTAAAAACTGAGTGAGAAGGTGTAGGAGACAAGGGCTGAATGCTAGAAAAAGAAGAATGGTTATGGCTAGGCCTAGAGGGGCATTAGCCATGGAAACCAGGTACTAAAGGACCAGGAGGACCACGCTGGCCATCAGGGGACATTTTCTTTAATTTTTTGTGCTCAGTCCTTTAGTCTTTTTACAGAATCTTGTACTAAGCTAGATTGGTCACGATAAAAGCAACACTGTTCATCTAGAAAGAGGCGGAGTCCTCCCTTTTTGGCTGTGAGTAGGTCTACGTCTCTGTGATTTTGAAGAACCACTGCTGCTAAAGAATCTATTTGTGATTGGAGAGTTGTAATGGATTTGGCTATCTCTTCCAAGCTATCTGTGAGGTCCTTGGAGAGGGGTTGGTAATAGGAAACAGAGGTGGTTAGTCCTGCAGTCTCAGTTCCAACTTCTGTAGTTATTCTGAGGGCTACTAATAGAGGTATGAGTTGTATCGCACGGCAGTGTCGGATAGGGGTATTGGGGTACTGGGATTGGTAGGGGTTGGTCTCCTAGGGCAAAGTTGATTTTTGGACAGAGGAAAACCAGGGTGCAGGTGCCCATCCAGTTAGAGGGGAGGCAAATATAAGTTGAGGCACCACCTAGGAAAAGTATGCCTTGGCTTGGTAGGCAGAACTGGTTGTGTATGCTAAAAAGATGTACTATTATTCTCATGCGTCCATACTCCGAGGGTCCCGGCTGGAGCTGCTGCTGTAAGTGGTTGTAAAGGGTGTTTGCTTTAGGCTGGGGGCTTTGGGGTCTTTTTTCCCAGTGTAACAGGAAGCGTTTTGTGTCCACTAAGATCCATGTGGGAGTGTTGCTGAATGTTGGGATAAGGACACAGTCGTGGGTGGCGGGTGCAGGGATGGTGCATGGAGAGGGGAGCCAAGGGAAGAGGGATAAACAGGGGAGGTGTTGGCCCTTTCAGTACTCTGAGTTTTTGTTAAGGAGGTGGGAGGTGTCAAGG